TGTCAGGTCATTTGCAGCCGCGATTTTTAAAGTGACCATAATTTCTTCGAGCTACTTTAGGAGCTATGTGCAAGGTAAAACATGACATTGGAAGCACAGAAGTTCTGATGATCCACAGACTGCTCAATTTTCAGTCCTAGAATGGGTTGTCCTTTTTTAAATTACTTTAAATTGTGAGCAGCTCTGTTCACCATGGGACACTGAGTTCAAAATAGGAATTATAAAGTTTTCTACTTCCAACAAATTATCTGCAGGCATCTGACACGCACTTTAGATTTATGTGCTTCATTAAGAATCAAGTTGTAGAGGATTAATCCACTTACCACAAACATTGGTAGGATTCAGCAATAGGGCTTGGCTGGTGATCCCATCAACTAGAGAAGCTGGGAGCTGGAGCCTGTACCAATGTTATTTGAAATGTGATGCTGACACACATGAACAAAACTGGGTGCACATTGCCTTCAAAATGTGAGCAGAGGGACTCTGCAGTCTATTGAGAGCTTTAACTACTTGATAAGGAATGTTCTGCATGCTGTGTATTATATACTGAACATTTTTTAAACATTTAACTGCTCTTTTGCAAAAATGGACTAAAAGTTTTATTAATCCAATTTTTCAAGCTATTCTCTCGCTTAGAAAAGTGTTGTCCCTCCAGAAAAACAAATAAACAAAAAAAATCCTAACTGAAGAAGGATAGTTTTATCTCATCCATTGAATCAAAAGAACTTCTAAAAAATGAGAAAAGAATTCTGGTTGTTTGGATCTTATTTGAAAACTTTTCTTCAATGTTTTTTTCCAAAGACTTTCAAGCCATGTGCTTGGGGTACAATCTTTGGTTTCAAAAAGGAGGTCAGTGAAGCTGTTTTACTATCTACCAAGTCTGAATTTGTCTTGCAGCTTGTCAAAACCTGTTTTCAGAACTTCTCACAGGGAAAGATTGCTAATGTTTCAAACAAAAAATTGTCTCTTGCTGTGACCTTTTTGAAATGACAAACTCCTTTTAGATTTGTGTGCTTCATAAAAAACAACCCACAAACAAACAAAAAACCCAACCCACAAAACCAAAAAAGTTGTGTCTGGAACTCCAGGTTCTGTGGATGTTAGCAGGATTGAGGAGTAGAACTGGAATCTGTACTGACTTTGAAGTATAGTGCTTGCCCAAATGCACAAAAACGGATGTGTTTTTAAAGGTTCATTACCTGCAAAATGAGAGAAGGTGGAATTAGGATGAAACAGAGGAACAGCATAAAGTGAGGATAGTACATAACTTAATTTCATTTTTATCATTACAACTGTTTGTGAAAAACAGGCTAGAGTCTTTTCAACACGTTGCCTAGTATTATGTAATATAATACTAAGGAAATACCTTTGTTAATGTTAAATAAATCCCTAAGCATTTTTCTTTGACTGGTAAAGTGTTCCTTCTTGCATTGGCCATTGCATTTTCTTCTTGCATGTTCTCTGAACACTATTATAGTAACACCGTAGGTCTTCTTGTATGTGAGGTTTCACCATACTAGGTGCTATATGAACATCCTGATTTTCACCATACTAGGTGCTATATGAACATCCTGATTTAAGGAATTTACAGTTTAAAACAAAATGCAACAAGAGATAGAAGGAGTGAGTGTCTTTGCTCAAAATCATTGATGTATATTGTATTGTATGCATGGCAAAATTGTACATCTCATTGTTTTACATTGCTATGAATGGAAATTGTGGGATTATCAAGAAGTCTGTCACCAGATTAGTGTTTTTTTCTTGCCTGTGTTTATTCTAACCTCTGAAAGATGACTGCCTTTAGGGTAACAGAGTAGAATACTCAGCAGATTCTGGAAATGGCTGAATGTCTTTTTCCTTTAAGGATAATATAGTGCAATTGAATGTAGGTACACAGTTAAAATTTCCAATCTGCTTTGCCAAGTGATGAGTGCCAAGTGGACTGTGGCCTTTTATGGTGTCAGTGTTGAGCAAAACAGTATATAAATAGCTTGTCAGGCAGTTCTACCTGTAGCTAATCCCTTGGTATTTGGCATTTTTTTAGAAAGGATCTGAACCAGAATGAACGCTTTCTGAAATAAATCCCAGAAATAGGTGCTAATTACTTACATACTATTACATTAACGCACTGTTGAATACACAGTTAATCTTTATTATATCTGAGTTGTTGAAAAATTTTAGTTTTGCTAGGTTTAATGTAATTTTCTGTTATTTTCAGCTAAAAAAACCCTGTTCACAGCTGTCTGAAATCATCGGTGTTAAAGACATTGCCCAATATTTTATCTATTTAAAATTTCCACTCAGATTGTGGACTGCAGTGCTGGCTTAACTTTGATGATCTTCAGCCTCTGCAGATTTGTTTGCTTTTTCCCTCCTTCACTGTGTAGAAAGATGCTGGAGGATGCTGGAGGAGCCTCCCAAGGATCGTTCTTAGCCTACCGGTGATTTAAATTCTGATAAATTCTCTATTCATTTTATGGAGAGATTTGGAAAATATCTAATGAGATTAGTTGACACAGGTTATATAAATCTGATTGTATTTGCTGACTCTAGTTGTCTCACACAAGACTGAGGCTTTCTGTGTATGTTGGTGTTGAGGCCAGGAATAGATGAGCTATGAACGTGTTGCAATTTATAGTAAGGCAAAGACAGAAAAGCCTGCTCAGTAAACGTCAGCCAGGTGACGTAAACTTGTTTGCTTAGCTCTTGACTTCTAAGTTCAGACTGGAGCATAAGTGTTCAGTTCAGTCCCTGAGTCAGTCTTTTCTGAAAGATAACAGATTCAGAGTGTTTGTAACTTGAGGGGCTTGGTGTAATAACTTTTTTTTTATTGATTGAGAAAGGAAGGCCATAAACAAGCTGCAAATCTCTGATACAGGTAGATACATGGGTGTTTTTGGTAGATAGCTGTATCCTGTGTGTTTCAATAAAATAAATTTCCCAGACCTGTGTTGCAAATTTAAACTTGTTTCTCAGAGTAAAAGCAATTGTCTCTATCATTTGCAGAGGCATTTTGTTGTCTAACTAATTTTCTCTTATACAAAAATGCAACCATTCAATGTTGTACCAGCCCAAATGAACTCCTGTAACATATAATCCTAAATCTCAGTGCTAATACTAAATTCAGTGGTTGATACTGGACAAAAAATCAGTTTTGCTGCAATATTGCAGCCTGGATTAAAGTGTCAGAACAGAAGCATTCTTATTGCTGCTGTTTTGTCTCCCTTGTAACTAGATTTTTTTCAGTGAGATTCAAGATTTTGGTGGGGATTTTGGGGTGACAAGCATCCTGCTGCCGCATTTTCTCTTTGTCGTATTACTGGAACCTGGACTGTAAGATACCTTTTCCAGTATAGTAGAGACCATAGTATTTTCTTCTACTTGCTGGGCTTCTTTAAGGCACTCAGTTTCAGACTGGAAATTAATGGATTAGAAGGTGTATGCCCTGAATGATTTGTAAGTAGTATTAAGGGAAACATAAAATACACTAAGTTTATTTACTAAAATAAGTAATATTAAAAAGAGATAATCTGCCTCAAGCTCTGAAATGTCTATCATATATTTTTGTTTTACTAGCTAGTAACAGTTTAAAATTATAAGAATCTGAAGCCAAAAGAGTTAGTAATTTGCTACGATTTTAAAAGAAATGTTTTTCTTTCTTGATATTACACAGCGGTGAAATTTCAAGCTGCTAGGTGTGTGGGAAGGCAAATAGGCACTAGATATTTTCAAAAACCTGTTTAGGTGTCTTTTTTGTCTCTTTGGGACCCTAACACCTTTGAAAATCTTCAAGTCTCCAGAGAGTTCTTTCCACGGTAATACTGTCTATAAAATGTCTATTAAGATGAAAATCCAGAATATCAAACCCATTGATAATATGTTAGAAATCCTAGCTCAGGGAGGAATTTAAACACATCATCTATTAATTTACCACACCATTACTATTGGAGTGCTAACAGGGTGGTAAGGTATCACCACTCGGAAGAAGTTAATTATTGTAGCAAAGGAACAACTGCCCTCAAAACACATTTTCATTTGACGCATGTTACCTCGTGTAAGAAAGTTTATTTCTCCCTCTAGCTGTTGGACTCTGTAAATTTTTATGAGGTCCTGTCTTAGACATTCTCATTTCTTCAATGTTTGACTGTGGTGACTGAGCTGAAGATCAGGCAGTAAATGTTTTTGAAATCCCTAATAATCCTCTGTGAAGGCTCTCTCCAAGTTATTTAACTGTATTTTATCTGTTCATGTGCTTCTACTAGAAGTGAATTTGTATGTCTCTTATTTGTTCAGATTGTCCTGGATTTGTGACTTTGATAGCAGGGTTGTGGATCCTAACACACTGGCAAAGCTCTGCCACTGCAGCGAGAGATGTTCTGCTAGGTGTATTTCTAGTCTCATTTGAGAGCATGAGAGATGGATGAATGCAAACATAACAGGCTGTGCAACCAACTCTACCTGTAACACAGAAAGAATTTTCTATCAGTAAATATCCCTTGTTTATGAATCATTGGAAATTCGAAGGAATCCCGGTGTTTGAATCTGTTCCTAGGACCCTCTGAGGTGCCCTTCAGGCCAGCTGTGAATGCCTGAACCATAATCTCAAAACCATCATCATAAGCCCTGTTTTCCACTATGTGAGCGGTGGACAGCCTTAAATCTGGCTGTGGTTGGTGTGTATGGGAGTTGTTTGTAAGGTACTTTGACAACTGAATGGAATTCAGGTGGTTCAGCACAGAGCAAGGAAGTTGATGCCCCTTTCTGAATGAGTTGCAGCCTGTCATGGTGTCTATCACCAAGACTTTTCCTGCTCCCATACTCCTGGCCTAGGTGTGAGAGCTGTCTGCTTCTTCCTTTGGCCTACGTGCAGGATTTTATGCATGCAAATTTGTGAATCATTTGAGGATGAATCAGCAAAAGATTTATAATGATCAGTGGCATTAGTATTAATGTGAAGAGCTGTGTGGTTCTGATGCCTCTTTTCCCTCTTTCTGTTTCAGTTCATCGCCTTTGCCTCTTTATTCTTCATCCTAGTTTCGATCACAACTTTTTGCCTGGAAACGCATGAGGCTTTCAATACTATTATAAACAAAACTGAACAGGTCGTCAATGGGACAGAAACTGTGCTACAGTATGAAATTGAGACAGATCCTGCCCTGACATATGTGGAAGGAGTCTGTGTGGTATGGTTTACATTTGAATTTTTAGTACGTGTTGTTTTTTCCCCCAACAAACTTGAATTCGTCAAAAACCTCTTGAATATCATTGACTTTGTGGCCATCCTGCCCTTTTACCTAGAAGTGGGCCTGAGCGGGCTCTCCTCCAAAGCTGCTAAGGACGTGCTTGGTTTCCTCAGGGTGGTCAGGTTTGTGAGGATCCTGCGAATCTTCAAGCTCACTCGGCACTTTGTGGGCCTCAGGGTGCTGGGCCACACTCTGCGAGCCAGCACCAATGAATTTTTGCTGCTGATAATATTCCTGGCACTCGGCGTTTTGATATTTGCCACTATGATCTACTACGCAGAGCGGGTGGGAGCTCAGCCTAATGACCCGTCAGCGAGTGAGCACACACAGTTCAAAAATATCCCTATCGGCTTCTGGTGGGCTGTAGTCACCATGACCACCCTGGGGTATGGTGATATGTATCCACGGACTTGGTCAGGCATGCTGGTGGGAGCCCTCTGTGCACTGGCTGGAGTACTCACTATAGCCATGCCCGTGCCTGTGATAGTTAATAATTTTGGGATGTACTACTCCCTGGCCATGGCAAAGCAGAAACTACCAAGGAAGCGGAAGAAGCACATCCCTCCTGCTCCTCAAGCCAGCTCACCCACCTTCTGCAAGACAGACTTGAACATGGCCTGCAATAGCACACAGGGTGACATCTGCCTGGGCAAGGATAACCAGCTGATGGAGCACAACAGAGCATCAGGTAGGACCCCACTGGAAATGCATGTCCTCTGAAAACACTTTATAGACCAGTATGTTTGGTAGGGGTCAGAAAGCAGCCAGTCTTTCTGCCAGGAGAAGACGTAGCTCCCACCCTTCTCCCCTCCAGTGTTTGCGTGTGTCAGTCTCATAGAGGACAAAACAGGTATAGCGATGTTCCCAAACCTCTATGTAGCTGGTCTATACAGTTTTGCTTGCTCTGTTGAGAATGCTTTCCTGCTGATGATATCAACCTTTTCTTTTGCCTGTTGTTTGTTGCGTCGTATGGATGTTTCTTGTTTTTTCTGCATGACTGTGACGATTTGCGCAGCCACCGTGTCCCACCCTGTTGGACTCCATGGTGTTTTGCCTCAGTGTCTGTCTCTTGTGTCAGCTTTGCCTGTGCCACATCGTGGCCTGTTAAGCAAGATCCTACAAAGAAGCAGTCATTTAAAAGGAGCAGGTGCTTTACATCAAAAGCCCAGCACTCAAAGGAAATGAGAAGAAATTCTCTCTCTAACTTCCTTTCCATTTGGCATTCTGCTTCCCTGGCTAGAAGAACCTCCTTCGTCTGTGTTAAATGAGGCATTGCATGATATTTACTATTAATTGAATGATAATAGCATAGCTGATGTACAGTTTGTCAAGAAAAATGAAAATGACAACCCCTAGCAACATCATCATTATTAGTGTTGATTTTTATGATTTACATTATTTGTTAGATTTCCAAATGATGGATAGGGAGTATTTTGTGCTAATCACTGTGAAAATGCATATCAAATGACAACCTCTGCCCCTCCAACCACTGCCCCATATTCCATATCTCTTCAAATTAAAGAGTAAATTTTATCCTTCAGTATAATTAAAACTTTTTTCCTAGCAGCAAGGATATTTACTTTTTTTCTGGAATGTGTTTATCCTTAAGACAAGAACAATCCGATTACAAAGCTCACATACCAGTCATTAGACTCCTCTTGGAAAGCTTCTAAACAATAATAAGAGCAAACCCACCCATGACTGGTGTCATTCAGTAACTGAAATTTATTTTTAAAAAAAGAAGAGTCTGGAAAACCATTCTTTGAATAATATCTGTCTTTGGTCTGTTAATCTGTTACTGAATAGCATTTATGTTCAAAGAAGCTCGGTTTCAGTCTCCAAGTGAACACAGCTTTTTGAACATCCTAAATATATTTAAGAGGATGGAAACCCTTGAAAGGACTCACAGTGAGGGAAGAATATAGATAGTTTTACAGTGCTTTGACTGATACCTACTTTCAGACAACATCTTTAAAGTGTTAATGATAACAGCTTTTTCATGCCATCAGATCCTACTAAAGGTACTCTGGAATGGAGGAGGCTCAGTGAGATCAGAGAAAAGAGACACTTTTCTGTGTCTGCAGCTTTATTTACAAGGTGTTATAATCCTTGAAGTTAGAGAGAAAGTAGATATGCAAAAAAGAGCTGTTTTAAAGTGTTAACTTTCTCTTCAGAGGTGCCACCGTTCACATTGTGCCCTGCAGCTTTATTTCTGGTAAAGAATGCTGTTAGAGTCAGTAGGACTTCTGCACAAAATTTCAAGGCTGGATATAGCCTTGAATATAGCATTACCAGTTCAGAAAAACACATGGTCAGGTTCAAAGGCAAACGTAAAGTTGAAGTCAATAATATACCATTACCTGTTATGTGCTGTACTGAGCTGAGATTTTTTTTTCTTGAAGTGTGGCCTGAATCTGAAATAGTAGATAATTTTAAAAGAGTCCTTTGGAAGTGCCAACTCAGGAGAGGTAAGAGTTTTGCTGTTTGCCAAAATAAACTACAGAGACCAAAGACAGCATTTAATGTTGGATACTTACGATGACAAGCAGTGCAAGTGTGATAAGTATAGAAATGAAAGCTAAGTGTGTTATTAAACAGGTTTTAGTGCCAAATGTTGAAAATTTAACCGTTCTGGGGGAGGGGTTGTCTTTAAAATATGCTAACCAACGTATTTTAAGCAAAAATGACTAGCATGACCTCTTGTTTAGCAAAAAGGACAGCCAAAATATTAAATATTTGTTTGAAATAACCAGAGCTGACTGTACTCCAAAAAGTTACAGTCCATAATAGGCAAATAACTGGGCCTTAATTTGATTCATATTTCGTGTAAGTTTAGTATAATTTTCTATGAGATTTAAAAGATTAACAGGAAAGTCAAAAGATCATTTGTTCTTGAATAAAACATATACTTCTTGCCACTTTGTACTGATTAATGGTGAATTGCAGTCTTGTTTTCTGCTAATGATTTACCTTATAATGATTTTTTTGAGTGATGGGAATATCCGGCATTCAGCATAAGCTCTTTGTGATGTCTCATTTCCTCATTCATTATTGTCTGTAAATGGGCATGGTGCTTTAACCAGTGTTATCAGGTGAAGACAGTGCAGGAAGTGAGCAGCCACTCTCACCTGGTGAAAGGCTCCCTCCCATCAGACGCTCTAGTACAAGAGACAAAAACAGAAGAGGGGGAACATGTTTCCTACTGACAACAGGTGATTACACGTGTGCTACTGATGGAGGGATCAGGAAAGGTATGGACTTCTTTCATTAGATCATAAAAGGTTACTCAGCAATGTGCTTGTGAAAAGCAATCTTAGAGTAAAAATGATGTGCACAATGCTCTAAGAGGAAAGACTGTACTCACAATGTATCTTTTTTTCTTTATTCCTAGTCATTCTTTTCCTGCTTTCCTTTTAGAAACACTCATCTCCTTTAGTCTTCACAAAATGTGCTTGATGTTGGACCCTTCATTTCACTTGTGTCTTCATTTGTCTGTTATCTTTAATGGAAAAGCTTGCAATTCAGTCCTTGCTCATTCAACCACTCATCACTCACTACCATTTGTCATTCTAAAAGATAAATTAATTATTTAACAACTTTTGTCTGCACTTAATAACACAGTAAAAATTACAGCTGAATAAATTGCATTTAAAAGGTCGAAATGCCAGAAGTAAGCAATGTTTTTGTTCTGAACACTACAAAGCATATCTTACAAGATGCTATTTAGATTTTTTTCAAAGAAAAGTTTGGGTTTAGAATGCCGCAAAATGTTTCCTCTTTGTATAAGTAGTAAACCACAGATGCTAAAAGGTGACTACCCCAACCAGAATTCAACTACAGCCAACAAGTTTCATATTGCAAGGTGCTAAAATGCCTTTCCAGTTATTCAGCCTCTTCAGATCTGATTACCCACTGTTCAGTAGGATTGAGCTCCCTAGGTAGAATTTGTAAAACCTTCTGTCATAGAATAGTAGAATCATAGAATCAATGTTGGAAAAGACCTCTAAGATCATCACCCAGTTCTGTCCTTACACAGCTCACCCATGTGACTGAAGGTGTGGCTACCCCATCAGCGGCATACCTAACCTCAGGGCATAGCCCCAAAATCAGCAATGCCAGTACTAGTCTTGCCATTTTCTTAGATAAGAGTCACTTTGGTTTGGTTTCTTGCCAAATTGTGTCATTCTAACAGGTTTCACGTTCCTGAATGCTGAGGTGCAGCTGTTCACCTCAGAGTATAACTGCGATAGCCATGTGGCACTTCCCCCCTCTCCGTTTTTTTTAGAAAAACATCTGCTTTGTGTACAGCAAACACAGCTGTCCCAGCCAGCCATAGACCCTAAAGGAATTATCCTAGGTTATTCTGCAAATGCTCTTTTTACATTTCAAAAGCATGACCCCAGTAGGTTCAACCTGTGAAAGCAGGTGTGCAACCAGAGTTCGATGTCCATCATATTTGTAAAGAATATGATTGTCTCTATGCTCCTACATTTTACATATTTTTCTATATAATATTTAGATTAAATTGCAGACTTGTGTAGATTTAAGACACTGTCCACTGAGCATATATTTCACACTGTCTTCTCAACAACTAGGATTATTTAAAATATCTCTGATGGTAAGACTCCAGTCTTTGAGGAGGTCAGGAGCACCTCACTAAGACAGATTGCTGTGGCATCTTGCAAGATAATAAGGTTCTTGACTTCTTTAAGGAATGTTAGTGTAAACATTTGGGTGCTGTTCACTTGTCAGTAACCAAAATTAGAACAGAAATAATAACTTTCCCATCAGCTGCTAAAGACATATTCATATAACAATAAAACTGGGACCACATGAACATTTTCATTTCAAAACCTAGATTCAAGAGAAAATTGTTTCGTAGTTTTTCCTAGAAAGCTGGGGCTTGAGTTCAGAACTGACAGTTCCTCAATGAGAAATGTGCTCTTTGACTAGATTTGGTGATAATCTTAGCCCAGGCTGAAATGTTTTAGCCACTGGTTTTCAAGTTTATTTTATAAGAGAGTAGGGAAGATAACTCAGGAGCAGAAAGTATCTTCAAGTAGCAACCAAATGATTTTGAATACTTGAATTTAATTTACATATCAAGTCTACTAGTTTGAGGGTTTTTCCCCACCTTTTTTTTGTTGTTGTTTTGGTACATCCTTCTTGTTTGGTTGGTTCTTTGGTTGGTTCTTGGTATGGTCAATGATCATTCTGAGGTTTTTGCATTAACACCTTATATTGATTCAGAGTTGATCCAAAACCCACTGAAATACCTGGAAAGTACCAATTTTGGATCATGCCTCTGTCTTTATTCATCTTGTGTACCTGGATTTCATTTTTTAGAAGTTCCTGTTTGCTTTATCAACTTTACCATCTTCCTCTGTCAATTCTTTCCTTTTATCATTAGAAAAGCAGCAGGAAAAAATATTTTTAAAAATACTTTTGTAGTTTCTGTGTTAAAAAGCTACCTGATTATTTTGATTTTTTTTTTCTGGTAAGCTTTATATTTACAGGGAGGTTAAATATATACACTAGCATTGTGCTTCCACTCAATTCCCCTTTCAAATGTGATTCTTTGTAATATGTGTAAATGCTGATAGAAACTCAGAAACTGGAGGCAGTTTTTGAAATGTATCAGAAGTCTGTGTAACATCACAATCTAGCATGCCCTTGCAATCTGGAGATAACATTACATGACATTTTACCAGACATGAAGTTGTACATTTGCTTTAAGTGTAGTTTGTAAGTATGCAGTTCTCAGTGGGTAAGAAATATGTTAATTGTCTTTTGGGGGAACCTAAGATATGAATTTTCCTGAAGATGCTAACAACTGTCTGTCTGTTACCTGGAGATGAGGAATTTGAGCCAATAAATATTTCAATGAGAAAAAAAAAAAGGTCTGATAACATCCTATGTAATATTTAGCTATATCATCACTGACATTTTACAGTTTTTGTGGGAAAAGTCTCAGGGTTCCTCTTTAAGAAATATATACCTGAATGTCTTAACCTGACAAATTCTTAGATGGATACTTTTCTTGAAGGAAATAAGTTGTGCCATTGAAATCAGTGGGACTTCTCATGCTTTCAGTGAAGTATGTCTCCATGAGCTTGAGGAGCGAAGTCCTGTCCTGCATCATCTTCATTGTATTTCCTGGCTGATCTCTCTCTCTCCAGACCGATGGGCTAAGCCTTTCCTTTATAAACAGGCCTAACAGGTGCAATTAAAAATAATTCGATTATGAAGATAGTGATGCAGTGAATAGCAATGTTTTTCCATCATTTTACAGCATAGCCGCTACAAGATGAAAACAATCTGGATGTACCAAAAAGTAGCGTACATGAACAGAAATGTCTACAAGTGCAATGTTGTCTCCAGATTGTGAAGCATTATGTGGGTGCCTCATTTAATGATTAATTATTTACTACTTGCTTGTGTGGATTAATAATGTTTATTTCATTTGAGTCAACTGGAGAAGGAGCACAAATATGGTATTTTAAATTTGCCAATTAGGAGGCATTTGCAAATATATCAGACTCTGCTATCTTATTATACTTTAACATTAGACACAAAGTCTTAGGGTTAATAGTTCTGAAGATAGAGCTTCTTTCCCATATTATCATTCAATCCCCTGCAGAAGTGATTTACACGTACTGTATGCAATTTATCTGGGTTTTATTTATTTTTAAAAATAAATCATCCTTTCTTAGGAATTGAATTCAGCAGAGATTATATAATTCTGACAGTTTTTATAGCCTGTCTTAATGGGTTTTTGATTATGCTTAGGCAGATAGCTCAAGCAGTAACCCTGGTGGGATCCTTTATCTTGCACTCTGCGCAGCCCTGCTGAGGATGACAGAGCAGCACTGAGTGCAAGACGAGGTGTGGAAGAGCAGGTCAGACCTCTTGTGTGGTGTCTGTTTACCTTTCTGGGGAAGAACAGCTGCATTAATTTGTAAATAACTTTATTTATTAGTCTATTTTGGTAGTAATGTGTCTCAGCATTGAGTTCTTTTGCAGGCAGATTTCCTCTGAGTCCCAGATAGCTTCTTGGATTACATTACATTGTATTGTTTGTCTTTGTCTTTTTTTTGGCTGAATTCAACTGATGTCCGTGCATTTTCTCGTACAAGGCTATGAAAAATCTCGAAGCTTAAACAACATAGCTGGCTTGACAGGCAATGCTCTGCGACTGTCTCCAGTAACATCACCCTACAGCTCACCTTGTCCTCTAAGGCGCTCTCGGTCTCCCATCCCTTCCATCTTGTAAACCAGATGGCATCAATCGGCTACATAGTATTAATTCAAATACTGTTTACCACGTATTGGAAATAAGTATAGCAGTAACTATAGGGTCCACAAATGTGGTATAACTCCTGCATGATATAACTGTTGGTAGTAAGAAATGCCACTTGGGTAGCTGAAGATTTTTATCTTGGCATTTAAAGATAACCTAAGGTAGCGCTTCTCCTTTTCTCTACTATATTGTCCTATGTTCCTGTGGCAATAAAAGGACAGTTAGTGGATGCCGTTGGCCAGTATATTCAATAATTAAGCATATTTTCAGGGAGATTCACTTAAAATAATGTGCTTCCAACTAATTATCAGTCACTCCATTGAACCTCCATTTCTTGTGACTCTAATCCATTCTGAAGATGTCTGGAATCGTGTCTTGGTTGCACACAATGTGACTTGGGTCTTCTCATTTGCATGGACCATCCTGTCTTCATCACCTGACAAGCAGTGTTGCCGATCGCGGAGACCACAGAGGGCTCTGGATGTATGTTCTCGCATTGTACCATCCTGCTGATATGAAAGCACTGATAAACTGGTCTGCATGTGGGATTGTTTTTCTTTGTTTAACCTTCTCCTTTATTTTTTTAACGATCTACTTGTTTATAAATGGCTTTATTTTGTGATTAACTTACTTCGGTATTGGATTGCTGTATCAGAGTTCTGAATGTCTCCGGTTGTTTGCACACAGATAACTGCAAAGAGGTTGTCATTACTGGTTACACGCAAGCAGAAGCCAGATCTCTTTCTTAATGGCTTGGGGAAGGCACAAAACATGCAAGAAAGGTAAACGCCATCCAGACTTGCAATTTTAAGCTAGCAAGTGCTGCTTGGTACTGTAGTCATTTCTCTACTCCAGGGTTCTTCAACATTTTCAGAGGCTGAGTACCAAGTAAAATTGAGAAGGTTATTTGGGGGCTTTTTTTTGTACCACTGTAAGAGGGTAGTAGTTCTCAAGTCGGGTTTTTGACCAGCCTTAAACCTCTGGCTCATGAGCTTAAATATTTTCTTCAGTCAATGTTTTTTGAGGTGCTTTGTCCTATATGTTGTTTGTCTGTCTGTTTCGCAACCTGTCTTCTGTATTCTCCATCTGTCTCCATAAAGCACAGAGATACTGTTAAAATGCCCCTCTCTTTTAAGGCTAACTAAGGACATTTTTCTCCTTTTCCCTTTTTTTTTTTTTCATATGGACTATATTTGTGTGTATAGATGCAAATATATATATTTTTCCAGTGCAAGTTAGTATTGTCTAGACTAACTCGTGAGCACTCTGAAGATTTTTCGAGTGGGATTTAGTAGCGGCTTTACAGTACTGACCAGTTGCCTATTGCATCAATCTTCCTCCTAGCAACCAGCATTCCTTACAGTTTTGAAACTGTATCTCCTCTAGTGGCTTTTTCATTCAATATTAACCTCTGTTTATGCAACAGGACAAATGCAATGGCAGATTTGATATTCTGGGCTGGGGAGGAAAAATTACACTAAACCATAGAGTTCTAGAACTATGTGGGGAAGACCATAACAACCCAGATCTTAAGAGATCCTTGAGATTGTTGAATAATCCCTGATTGCCATGTTCTATTTTTTGTTAGGAAAAGAAATACAACTTACTGTTGACCATGTAACATGTTCTTCTGTATATAGCCTAGCCCAATAGCATGACCTGCATGTCAGAATTCTTGTACAATAATGTATTTATCAAAGTATACATTTCTGATATTTAGAGATGTACATTGATTTAGTTTTGGTAAAATATTGTCAATAGAGAGATAATTGCAAACAGCTTTTAGCAAAGGAATTAATATAATATCTGGTGCTGCTGTTATATTAACTACAGTGTTGTACAGAATTTATCATGGATTTTTGACTGCTGAAAAAGGGACAATGGAATTTAGCCATACCAAGGACTGTACGGGAAAGAGACTGCTGCTGCTGAATGGGCCCTGATAAACATCTCACGCCTTGAGGAGGTTACTGAGACTTTACGTGTGAAGTAGAGCTTGTTAAAGAAGATTAAGGACTGCTCATAATTACTGCTGCCAGAGAAAGGGGTAACTAGTCGCTGTTGATGAATCAACTGTAAATAAAATGTGTGTGCATGGAATATAAGTTTTTATCTATATCAAGGAAAGCTGAATTCAAGTCATCATTGCTAAAGCTCCATGCAAAGACCCACGCCCCTGTGTGTATTCTTACTGGTTCCTGCAGTAACTTGTGCTGTGCATCATACAAAGACACACACTTAATAATGATAGTGATGTAAGCTGCATCTGTCTTGCCTCCTGTCATAATAATGGTATATTTTGCAAAGGTCACAAATATGATCAGAGTAGGTTTGCATAATTCCTTGCTTTCTCAGTTTGCCATGACCTATATTTGTATGAATTCTAGTGTACATGCCAAGTCTTAAGTTACTTTTCACTTTGATAACAGATATGTGACTGCAGACAAACATCACTAAATTTGTTCACAGCACACAGTCTTCTTCCATTGTTACCTCAAACTATAAGTATTATGAGAAATAAAATTCTGGCAGCAAGAATATTTTGGTTTTTTTTTCTTTTAATTCAAAGTGTTGCAACCCAACATCAATAAGTATAAAAGACGTATTGAAATTATATCCTACAAATGTATATTTTACATAAAAGAGATATTCTTTGATCAGTTATTTTCTGTGATTTTTGTGGTAAATGAATCTAGTCTATTCTATGTTTATAAGGCATTGTAGTGCTACGATGTGATAATTATGCTCTCTCCATCCTATTCAGTAGGAAATTCTCCAGAATCTGTTTTGTCACCCTGGTGTCCCAATTGTAGGGACCTGTCCCAGTTGTGAAACTCTGTATCGTGGAACTTCTGTGAACATGTCAAGGTGCATGCACAATCCTGGTGGAAGCCAGTGGAAATGTAATACCTGAACTGGAGAATAAAAGGCAAAAGACCTGGGGAGGAACTTTGAACATATTTTCTGAAGTGGCTCCCCCCCCCATCGGTCCCCTGCCTGCCACTGGCCATCCCAATTCTCAGATGAGTTTCCGGGGGTAAATGAGGAGTTAATTTAAAAATGAGCTGAGCTGAGCATGAGCTGCCTTCTACAACAATTTAAAAATCTTCCTTCTTGCTAATGACCCCATGCCTCATGGGGAAGTTGTGATTGGGCTAGATATTGTCAGACTCAAGGCAGTTTTATTTCATCTTGGTGTGAAGCCAACCTAAAAAGGAGGTGATAAATGGTTGCTTAAAACTCGTAATCCAATAGTGCATTTGGGGCAACTAGTGAAATCTCTGAATACACAAGCAGAGTGTGTGAGAGGACTGAGGGAGCTAGTACAGCTGTACGCATGATATGAGGCTGATACCTCAGTATTTTTGAGAAAACACTGGAATGGAAGAAAGATTCCAGAAATTAGGATCAAGAGATTTTCAAGTTTTGGAAAATGTGTTATAATGATGTACCATGAAAGCTTGGTGTGCTGAGTTTACCCAAAGGTTAAAAGTTGTCTGCACGGTGACCTGTGAGTGGTACCCACATGAGGAAGAGGTGTAGTGGTTAGCCAGGACAAGACTCACAGCCACCCTCAGGCACACAGGTCTCGTGTCAGCCCCCAGGCACCCAGAGGGAGGTGTCTGGCTTTCCTCAGTGGTACATGGGGATGGTGATGAGCCCTGGGTGGGACACAAACATAAGCAGTGCACTGTGTTGAGTAAGACTGTAGAAAACATTGATGGCCAGATGGTATCTGATGTATTCTACTGTCTCTGGAGCTTAAGCCTGGATGCACCTTCGCTGGCACAGGACCTTTAGTCCAGGATATTCTGACTGCAACTACTGACTTTTCCTCTAGAGAACCAAGCCCATGTTTTAATGCTTTCTTTTAATACACACCTGGAGGACTAGCAGATGGTAAGTCTTAACTATTCATGTGTCATGGGGCTACAACTCAAATCTGACTGTTGTAAGAGGAAGAGTTGGCTCAACCACCAGCCCTCAAAGACTAGCCCCCTCCTGTTCTTCCCCTGCTTCTGGGCCCAAGAAGGGGTGAAAGTGCATTTTCATGGGAGGTTTAACTTTCTTGGACTGAGGAAGGCTTTGAACCAAGACTTCACTCTTCAGGGCAATGCAGTTCTTACATCTCAGATACTATATAAAGGATGGGCAGCACATTTACATTCACCTCCTCTTTTGGCCATCCTTTAAAAATAAGTAGATACAACGAACTCTTGTAAAGGGGATTCTCACAGTGCAATCTGCTTATGCAGAGCAGATCTATCCGAGCTCCCAGAGACCTTCAGCCCTGCAGAAGCAAATTGGCACCTTGAGGAAGGAGTTAAGGGTCAAGCAGTGTGTGAGTGTGGGTATCCTAGGGATCAAATACTCACCAAGGGGCAGTTGTGGGCATTTCTGGGCCTGCTTTCAGAGTGAAAAAATCCATTTAATCCTTGTGTAAGTGAGACCTGAGGGTTAGAGATAGAGTTAAACAAGCAATGAGTTTAGAAGCAATCCATCCATTATGACAATTTACCAAAGGCTATTGCATGTTCTCTTAAAGTCAAAATGTCATAAATAAGCACCTTTTTGAAAGATAAACTAGTGCAGCACTAGAGCATATTGTGGAGGTGATCAGATTATGGGACCTTTGGGCTTCGAACCCTGTTACTGTTTGTATGAGGCCTCATTCAGCACTGAGGAAATGTTGCTGCTCCAGCAAATTTTGGGACACTGTATTATAAATGTTATAGGTGTGTACTATAAACATATTCCAGAATTCCTGAGAATCATACAGCTAATGTTAATTAATTTAATGTTGTGTGCCAGGGGGCTTTTTTGTGTGTGAAATAATTATTGATCTCAAAAGTTCTTTTTCAAAAGTTCTGTATTTAATTAGAACTCTTAGGAGGAAATTTAAGGAAGCCTCTGTTCCAATGGTTTACTGAAAACTGGAAGGGCAAGAGACCAATCTGACACGAGCAAATTTACAAGTGTGTTTAATGTGAAGATATGAATTTTAAAAGTTGTGAATGAATTAACTGTATGAAAGAGGAGGGCATTTTATCATCAGAATAAATCATGCAGAAGTCAGATAAAGGAAATTGGAATGGAAAACTGCTACTAGAAAGAGAAAATTAATATATTAATATGCTATATTGTAAGCAGTGGCTTGAACAATTCCATAATAGAGCCTCTGAATAATAACTGAGAAGAAATTATGAAAAAAAGCCCCAAGGGTTTCTATCAGGTTAAAATTGTCAGAAATATTAATATTTTTATAACATATCATTTTCCCCTTGGAAATACTTATTATTTATTCAATTTCTAAAAAGACAAGTTATTTAAAAAAATGATGTGTTTTAAAGTTGAGAGTTGACTCATGAGCGAACGCTGAGATGTTAGTGTTGGGTGTTGGGTACCTAGCTGGTGTGCTGTTACCAGCATTTACCTCCTACTTAACTGGATATCCCTGCGACATGTTGAAGTTGCAGAGGTGTCTGATTCCAACGGGAATCTGTCACATGCTGGCTCTGCTGGGATGTGCTCCAGCAGAGCTCCCAGTTCCATGGCACAGCCTGCAGAGCCACCTCGAGCCCTGGACTACGTGCGGCTTCTCTGCTTTCTGGCAAAATACACGTGCTTCCCTCGCCCTCAGCAACCTCCTCCCCAAAACCCAGCCTTCTGTCGCTGGCGTTTTTTTCTCATGAGCATGTTGATGAACAGCTGACAGATCTCAGATTCGTGCTTTCACAGCTTCGTGTTCACAGATGGCAATATTCTAGGATATTTTTAAAAAAAAGAAATTGGAGGTGGACACATTTTTGAAAATTTGGCACCAAAATGTTACATATTTCATTTAACATCTCCTGTATTATTTGCAGGTGGAAGACTGGAGATCAGTTTAAAACCAGGGCAACAGCTAGGCTATACTGAAACTTTCAGGATGTGTTCATTTCACATTCTGCATCTGGTTAGAGCATCCCTGCATTTTACTATCATATGAAGCTCTCAGTTTTCTCCCCAAATGGGATTTGGAGATAAGCTGCTAGGGCAAGTCAGAGAGTACTATTTTAAGCTAATTTTTTTTTCTGTAGAATGGTCATGGCTCCTATAAGGACCGTAAACATGTATTGTAATATGAAGGAAAAGAAATTGCTTGGGAAATACTGAGGCTGTGATAGATGGCTGTAATCCATCTTTGTCTTGCAGAATGGTACAGGCACCCTTTCTTTAAACAACAGAAAGCAAACGGTTTTATGGCGGTGTCCTCAGAGCAGCAATAGACCTGCATAAGATAATGAACTACCAAAAGAAGAAAGTGGAAGTTGTTTCCCTTGACCTTAAGACAGCTTATTTGCAAAAGCAACAAGATCAGACTTGTTTAGGAAGCTTGGCCTTTGCAGTGAAACAATGCAAACTCCATCAGTCTGAAGAAGAGTAAACCGTAGCCACGTTATCCTATTAGGCTGATGCTAAAAATAGAATGGATTTTCAGTTTCTAACAGGGATTTCCGTGCTTTGTGACTAAACGCAGCACCAGAGTTTTATTCATGCCCATGGATTATGTTGATACAATGCAGTGTTTAGCATTCTGAAAGTCAAAATGATGCCATTGTTTAGTACTAGTCTTTGCATTTTGCTAACATGAAAAATCAGGTTTCTTCTGAACTGAAACATGGGAAAGGGGTGGTGAAGGGAGCACTGAAGGAAATGGTTTTCTTGAACTCTTATGGAATCTGCTGCATGTAACTGTGACACAGGAATTAAAATGCACAGCTTTCCCTATGTCAGTGTCTTGACATTGACTGCAATTTTTCCAGTTTTGAAATTCCTTTTCTTAGTTTTGGTTGTAAATTGTGGCAACAAAAATTTATTTAGTTATTACTGTTTATAACCTCTGCTTAACCCTTGATGAGTTTGCTTTAAATCTGTGAATAATGGAGAAATGATAGAGCTAAACAACACCAGGATTAAGCTCAGAGAAGAACTTTTACACAAACTTAATAGATCCATCTGTAATTATTTAAGAGTTTCCTCAGTACAGGACATCATCTGAAGAAGTTCCCAGCATGAAATGGCTTCACTGAAATGAATGGTAGAACTGTCCTTGGCACGATTAGGTTTTGGAAAGCAACTGGTTTATGCCATGGACATTGACAAGACATTTATCACCAATATCTTAATATTCTATTCAAAATATTTCAGCTGAAATTATACTAATACTAATAATATCAATACCGTTACTAAAAATAATAATAACGTGACTTATCATGATGGCCACCAATTCTGATTTTAGTACAAGTAGCTGAAAGCATAGGCAGCTGCATGCTGAGTTCCCCTTCTCACCATCTTCCAGTGGCTGAACATCCCGTGCAAGTGCCAAGGGCTTCACGCTGCAGCTGGTAGGTTTGTCCTCCCCTCATCCTGATGCAGGGATGAGGAGAAGAAGGCGATTTTCACCTCTGTACTCAATTCACCTACAGGGTGAGTCCTGTGCACTCTTGGTGCCTGCTCCGAGTGAGCTGCTTG